TGCTACATGATCAAATACGTACTACTCGCCTTTATGTTGCTCTTCTGATTACGAGTTTATCCATATTGGTAATCTTTGCTTCTTTGGCACCAATGAATATATCTGTGACAATACAAAAACCTTCGCTAGAGACGTACAAGTATCTGCAACTGAATTACCCTAATACGCTATCGTGCCCATGTCAAAATATTGCTGTATCGTACGCCAGTTTCTTTTCAATCACGCCGACTTATCATCAGGTATGAATTTCAAGCTAAGTACGAAGGGCAGTAGCAGAATATTGGGGGCTCGATTCAGATATTGTCGAAGTAGTAACCCATGCTCACTTACATATAAAATACTTGTCCACACAGCAGAAGTTTGGGTAAGTTTCGAATTGGTGACACAAATTCGCATCGCATGTATAATGCACATAGAATAAAAGCATGCATCTTACATGCAGACTAATGGACCATCTCAGATCGAAACAAACTATTCAAAACCGCCCATAGTATATTTAGTCATGTCGAACGTGATTGATTTCTGTGCATCGATATTAAAATTTGTAAAAGTTTCTGAACATATCATCCACAGATACTTATCAAATAAATATATCAGATGCAGTAACATCTGCTTGTTGCAAATGTTTCATTGCAATGATTAGCTTGACCGAATAAACTTTTTCAAAGAAAATCTAGCCAATATTTTTTTAGGAAAACATTTTCAATATTTGGATCATTCTTGTTTCAAACGACAACCAATGCGAACCTAGCTCTAATATTTTGCAGAATTGAAAGTAAAATGTTTTTTAAGTGAACAAGCATCAATTATCTTTAGGCTAAGATGATGACTAATCATGAAAATACATATGTTTGGTCATTCTCATACGGGCTATTGCACTCTATCTTTTCTTGGTTAATCATATTTCAAAATATATTTCTTGAATCTATTGAACACACAGCATATACTCATTTCTCAAAAGTGAAAAGTACGAAACTTGTGAAACATAAGTTCGCCTGACTTAACATATTCATACTGAGTGGATCATCTTTCATGTACAAAAAACATGATCAACGATTTGATAACATCTTCGTTTCTATCATTATTTATAATACTGATCGGTTTATGTTCAAATTGAAGCTTAAGATAATGCGACAATAGTAGGAAAATTTTCCGGTTAAAGTGAATCAGGTGCCATTTTGTACATTGAGTGACAAATGTTATTTCAATGATTGGAAGAAATGGCTGAGGTCTTCTAGTTTTCTATAAAGTACAACATTCGAAATTAGAGAAATATTCCGCCTTATCCATGTAATCTCATTTATCGGCAAGAAACATTTTTAACTATTCGTTAATCGATCAAAATTGAAATTGATGTATTGTGTTAAAGACATACTGCCTATCACCTAATAATTGATCTAAAGACAAACAAGTCCAGAGAATGCTTCAGGAAGAGCAGAATGTGAATGATTTAGTATACTATTTGATGAATGAACATCTAAATAGAAGGATGTACTACTAAATTTTGTAACGTATAATTTGTGTTGCAGTCTACCATGGTTCTACACTTCAATTAATAGTTTCTGACAAGACTCACTGTTTGCGATGAATGCTCTTGTTCTGCTTTTCTAAAACAGGTACAACACTATAGTTCCTAGTTTCTTTCTTTTCGAAAACATCCATTACGAACTTGATAAGTAATATTCAAATGACAACTAGTTCATTTCGTTTTGATCATATGAGAGATAGACTACTACATAAACATGCCATGTATACATGATTTAGTTATTTTTCTGTAACAGGTATGTTCCAGTGGACTAGTGTCATCTGAATGGATCACATCGTTGTTCAACCCAAAAATGACGTATATGACCCCACTGGACTTTCGCGTTACAGCAGCAGCACAGTTTCGACTATTGGCAGCGGCTTGTTCAGTATCAGTAGTTTCCATAGATAACCTCAATAAAATATTTGGTCAAGAGCAGCTTGTGAGCACACGAGCTCTGTCACCAACATCTCTTCATGATCAAGCTAACGCTCTCATCGGAAAATTTAAGGCCATTATGAAAGTAAAAATACCACCGACTCGTGGTATTCAATTGCTACATTTCATCATCGCTGAAGGACATTGTAACTCGGCTCTTCATACAAATACATTTCTAACAAGTATACCAGGTTCCAACACGTTTGAAACTATTACTAACTTTTATCCAAAACATGACAATGCCAACTACAGTAGCGTAAGTCTTTGTACAAAATAACTGAATGAATTGCAATGCGATACAAAGGATTGTTTGATAAAGTTACGACTAAAAGTGTTGTTACTCATTGAAGTTTCTGTAAATTTGTTCTAACTTCGTACAAATAACAAGGCACAGTCAAACTGGTTCACAAGCACTAGTCTGTTCTTAGCTGATAGACATACGATCGATCTATGAGCCCAGTACTATTGCGAGTTTCATTAATGTGTTTTTCAGCCTTCTCAACATTTCTTACTGGAATATCCGAATTGAAGAGATAAGTCTTTCATAGAATCTAAATAATGTTTAATGAGAAGTCAAGCTTCTCACTTTTACAAAATATTTTTGTTGATACTTTGCCTTCTCTGATCATCTTGTCGCTGATTGCGAAAATAGGACTGGAATGTCTATAAAACAATACTTATGTATAATCAATCCTTAATGTTCATCTAGTATTGGACAACAACACTGGAACTCTTTTTGTGTTTGTGGGTAATCATTCATTCGCGTAAGGTAACATCCCTGATCGTGAACACATTCCAGAAGAGACTAAAACTAAACCTAATGTAAAGCTCACTTTGTCAGTACGGGTGAATTACTTTTCGTCTCACCTCTTACAAATATCCGAATATGTATCCGGGTGTTCGAAAATGAATTTTTGTCCTTAAAGTTTATGACGGTAGTTCGTAAACATTTGTGTACAGGAGATCGTAATAGAAAGGCAGGGAAATCGGAATGGCTTAACCGGATGTTCGGCATAAAATGCCCCTTGCTATACCTGATGTAGCTTCGGAGATCGTAATGAACAAGGTCGGATGTTCGGAATATATATCTAAGAGTAATTTTTACAGAAAAAAACCGGAAGAATGAAATGACATTGACAGGAAGTTCGTAAAAGAATTTAATAGGAGATTGTAACGAATATAAAGACTTTTTCTGTTTTTATAGACAAGAATGACTGTAAGACAAGCGTGTCACTTCACATTCTCTCAAAGGTGAGGGAACCTCAACATAGCTACGAACCTCCTGCCTTTTTCATTCCGAACACCCTGTAGTTTTCATTAGGTCCTTCATGCATTTGTCATTACAAACTTCCGGACATTCTCATTTCGATATCCTGGCAAAATTCGCTGTTCAAGCACTAACAAGAGATTGTCAGCGTTCATTACGAACGCCTGAACAAGTTTCATTCCGGACATCCTGTTTTTTGTTACATTTCATTGACTTTTACCATTACGAACTCCATTACGAACACCCTGTCTGGTTTCTTATATCCGAAGATCGTAACGAACTATTCCAACTGGAGTTCGTAATGGAAAAGTGAGACGAAAAGTAATTTTCCCGTCAGTACAACAGATTACTGATCTTTTTATTTCTCATAATCTGAGAGAAAAATGGATTTCATGCTTACACGAGATTCAGTTATTCAGTATTCTGCTCTTTAAAGCCCAAAACTTGCCTTTTCTTTATAAAAAAAAAAAGATGACTATTAAATTTGTAGCAAGGCATGTGACACAGATTTATTTGGGAAACGTATGTAGAAAAAAAGAAAAATGCTCAAACTCTTGAAGACTAAACATCTGTTTCCAGTGTTTTCCTTTAGTTTATAACCGTCAAAAAATCTAATATATGAATATTGTAGTTTCAAAAGTAGTCTATCAATTAAGTATTAATAAAAAACCTTTATGAAAACTCTAGTGACACATATCAATCATTCTCTCTCTCAGAGTTTTAGTAATTTAACTATTATCATCGATAGTTCCGGAACAAATAGTACAATATATATAACCTAATGAAAACATTATCTTTTCAATTCTGACCCTGTTTTATTGTGACAAGAAATAACCACAATATCATGTTCAAAAGTGAAAGTCAATAGAAAACATTTTGGCTTCAAGTAAGCCAATAAAAATATTAGGTTTTGGTAATGTTAAATTAGATTCTACAAAATTAAACTAAGCAATATCTCATTTGATTATAACGATTTAAAGATATCTATAAAAAAGAAACAATGCAATTAAAACTCCGTGCACAAAAGTACCTTAACTTTCACTCAGTAATATATAATGTTGTGAAAAGAATTATTCAAATAAAATACTTTGTACTTCAAAATTCCAATAAAGTATTTCAACAAGCCAGTTACGGTCTAGGAAAAAGATTCGAGAGTAATTCACTTTTCTTAATATTCATGTCAACTTTCATCAACAATCATATTTCACAAAACTGTTCTAGAAATTTTAATTTAGATAAAGCTTTGCAAGTGAATGTTTTTAACATGATTAGTATGCTTCTAATAATTTTCTACTAAAAAGTTTCCATGAAAATATTTTGAAAACGTCTCGTTAAAAGCTAAATGGTGGATCTTTTAGAGAAAAATCAAATTTACAAATTAAGAAAAATGAAAAAATTGTAAAATAATTGTTAAGATGTAGATGCGTTCTGGGCAATAGGTCATGATAAAATTTTGTTTCGAATTCTAATAAGATTTTCTTGTTTGGAAGCACTCATTAACTTAAATGAAATGAAAATACAATTTGATGTGTTTCTCTCGTGACCGATCTTTATGATTTGTATGCAAAATAATAAACAACTCAGTGTTGAAAAAGAGAGTACAGATTGCTGTTTAAAATTTATTACATTAAAATTATTGACAATGATGATGCATCACAGTTTTATATCTAGAACTACCAAAATGACTTCTATTTATGCAATTCACCATTTCCAGTGAATTATAAAGCAGGAATATATGAGTGGGCTCTCGAACCACGACCACTCACGCAAATGATGTCTCCAAAACCACCACCTGTTTTTGTTGTTCCTGGAATGCATGTTGGTTGTTTTCCAAATGATGCCATGAATGATAATACACTCGAATGCTTCTTTGATTCTACGTGCTTTAATACCACAGCACAATGGATTTCTACTCTACCAGTTACCTCTTGGCCAAAACCATTCAATAGTTCAATAAAATCGCGTTTTCTCCCCACCACCACTATTGGTTCTCTTTTGGAACAAAATATGGTCGAAGAGTGGCAAAACATAACAAATTTTTCGGGTTACTATGCTGCTTGCTCACCAGCTTCATGTACTTACACGATGACAAAACATAGTGGTATTTTTCACATACTAACAACACTTCTCGGATCATTAGGTGGTCTTATGGTAGTTCTACGCATCATTGCTCCACAACTCGTTAAGTTACATTCTCTTCTTGCTGATTATATGTCAAAAAGAACGAAACCAGATACAAGTGTACAGATGCAGCAGTTAGGTATGATTTCAAGATGTTTTTTAGTAGCCTTTAGTAGGTTGCATATGGTTCAATAGTTTAACGAGCTCCATTGATCATATAAGAGAATGCACTGGTGTCGGAAAGTAATCCAAAGCATCAGTCTGTCTGATACTAACAAAATATCATTTGACTAGCATCAAAGTCTGCGTGGGCATCCTGAACTATCTTCGTGTCTATCTTGCGTTTATAATGGTTATGATTAAACAATAATGACAAAATCTCAGTTCACTCGTCACTTTATACATTTCCTGAGTTTAATGTAAAATGATTAAGCACTTTTCTCTGTTATATATTCTTGTCAAGATTTCTATATTCAACTTCAATTTTGATTCTTCTTCAAAGCAAATAATTTTTCAAAAATGATTAAAGAATAAGATTCATTTTTTTTGCATCAGTTCTCTTTGAAAGATAGTCTCGAATCGTTCTTTAGATGACAAATATTCATACTATTAAGAAATCATGAGTTTTAAATCTACTGAAATTATGTCATGTTTTATCAAAGTTGCTGTACAGAGAGTATGTGATACACTGCTCAAGAGATTAATAAAGTATACGTTCTGAGTTCTTAGTATGTTCAAGAAAAGATATGTTTCGAGTGATATCCTGTTCGGGTCATAACGATTGTCATATCCAAATGTTTTGTTAGTTCTCAATAATATACTTTTGGTTAAATAAAATTTTTGCCATGTTTGTTCTTTCATTCTATGGTCTAGCATTTGGATATAAATAGGAGAGCTTTGTCGCAGAATAAATTACTTGGTAGATAAAACTCATCATTCTTTCGTAAAACGTTCGCCAATGTCTTGACAATTCAATGATCATTGGTACATGAACTTTCTTGCAAATGTTTGGAAAATCAACTGTTCTCAGCAACAAATTTTAAGAAAATATTGCTTCTTGCTCAAAAAATATTAACCTGTCTGTGACCAGCTCAGGTTAATACACTCACTTATGAGACTCTCACCGTAACATCGGTTCTTTTTTACACAAATCCAGTTGTTAAAACTGATTTGAACAATTGAAGGAACATTTCTTTAAGGCATCCCCCCTCCAAAATCGATTTTCGTTACAGTGCATCGGACTTGCCTGAAACTTTCCACAAATGTTGGGCACATCAGAGTAAAGTTACGAATTTTTTTTTTTACTTCTCCAAACCTCAGCGTTCAGGAGTTTTCCAGAGATCAAGGCCAAAAATGGACCCTCTGACAGTACAAACTTTTTTTCACTATACTTCAACGGACTGAATCGGGGATTGTTTTATTTGAAGAAGAACTGTTTACCGCTTGGACTGAGGGAAAGAGATTTTTTAAATTTTCCTTTGTTCATTTTAGGGACGTCCAAAACCCCAAAATTCTGAAAATCTTATCCCAACGCTTTTGAAAAACCCTGGATTTCTCTCAGATTGACGATGAAATAAAAAATCCCTTTCCCTCATCTGAAGCAGTACACATGTATGTATCGACTAAAAAAACCGCAGCTCTCTAGGACGAAGTATATTGAAAAAAATTTGTTCTGCTGTCGATATCTAGCACAAAAATACGTTTTGAGAAAATTGATAAACAAAGTGAAAATTATTTTTAAGCCATTTTTGGGAAACAAAGAATTCTAAAGGATTTCTCGAAATCTGGCATTGCCATTACATCAAACACGAAGACAAACATGTATAACCGAAATTTTAGAATTTTCGGTCATCAGGTAAAGAAGAGAGAAGATTTTCAATCGCTGAGACAAACACCAAAATAGGTGTCCCTATTCGGCAAAAACTTTTGTAACTCATTCTAGGTATCAAATTTTATTCTGAAAATTTGGATACTATGGTAACTTGGCACGCTGAATACGATAGTGATTTTGGTTTTCTATAAAAATTCTAAAAATCGGGAATGGTCTCCTGAAAGCCTAAAAAAGTACTGGCTAGCTACAAAAAATGATTGAGAACGGCCAAAAACCACTCATATCTAAAACCAAAGACATGCACTGAAAGAGGAGAGTTCAGTACATCATCCTCCAACAAAAACTCAATTTTGAAATTTTTTCAAAAAATCTAATTTTTGGAGGGGAGAGCCTTAAATGGCCAAATAAACTTACTGTATTTTATGTTTAACTTTCAGATAGACTTGCTTTTTCGATCCTTTCTCTATCTTTCGTAGATTCTGTAGAGCGATAGCTATTTCTGTTGGTCAAGTGTTCAGAAAACAAGAGTCAGTCGCCTTTTACTCTAGTTAAACTATTCTTACGTCGTCAATAAATTCAATTTTAATGCTTTAAAGAATATAAACTGATTCTTGATCTGTTCTTAATTATTGGCTAATTTATGATTATTCTTTTCGTCGACGAAATCTTGTATTCTTAGGATGGTCTGCTCCAATGGTTCGGATGTTCAATCTTGTTCAAGTACAAATACGTTCTCTAAATGTTTTTGATGTAAGCTCATGTTGTCTGCTTCATTGTCGTTTCAGATATATTGGTGTGTATGAATAAGTGTTGGATTCCAATGGTTTCTCTTTAGAAATTAAAACCCTCTGAGACTGGTCAAATAAAAAAGTTTAAAATGATCAAGATAGGATCATAAAGTCTAAATCTTTACAATATCTAGACAGTTTTTAGGCAGAAAAGTATTTTGAACTGTCTGTGGATATTGTCGAACAGAGATGAGCGAATCGGATAAAACTCTGACTTTAGTAGGTAGAAGTGGAGGCGAGTTTTTTTCACAAGCCAGATTCAATTGCAAACTCCAAATTAATGTCTTTCATCATCAAAATTTCATTGCAAGGTTGATCTTCCCTTACTGCTGCCATCAAAGAATAGGAATATACTCAGTTTTTTTCCGAAGATGGTGTAGAATAAGAGAAAGAATACACTATGATGCTGTCTAGATATAGACTAAGAATACACAGCACCAGTTTAGCTTTCACATGACAATAGACTTCAAATTTAATTCTAATTTGAGAAGAAGTGCAATAAAATTCCTGATTCAAATACGGTAATTTTTGTTGATATAGCGATTTCTTTAAGCACTCTCAATGCTCATCGGTTACTCTGTTGGCCGAGAATTTTGGTTTCATGTTAAGTTCTATCCACTTAAACTCTTTCGGGTATATTCTCTTCTATTAATCTGGTATTGTATCTAGAAGTGACCTAATTGAGCTCAGCTAGTACATACCTCCCTTTATTAGGAAAACATGAGCTTGTAACATTCGTCTAGCATTGTTGAGTTTTCAAAAGGGTAAATTCCTGAATCAATTAAAAAATTGCCATACTTTGTAAATTCTGATCACGAAGCGGTAACAATGAATAATCAGAATATGTCGGGAATACATATGACAAATGCATCAGGTTAATATTGCAAAGTGATAAATGACGCTCCCAAAATCTAAATGAAAATTCAGAAGACGAAAACCTTACGAAAATACACATAAGAAAAAATTTTCTTTTATTATAATACTGTTAATATCTGTGTTATTTCCGTTGTCGAATCCAACACTTCGCTTCTGATAAAAGAGATGACATAACATAAACATAAATCTTGCTTTATATAAGAATACTCTGGGTCATCAGCGGATCGGCATTATTGCTACACGTGTCTACGTACTTCTACTTGCAATATGTGTCGTTATTCTGGTATTTTACTTATGGCTGACTGTCCACACGCTCACCTTCACAATTTCATATCCATCACGTGCCACTTTCGAGCGTTTATATAGTGATTTTCCACTAACACTTGCGTGTCCTTGTTCTCAAGTGGCTATACCTCAAGGTCAAATGACGTTTGTTTCTTCTCTGCGCTTTCATCAGGTAAGAAAACAGTCATACAGAGAACTCCTATGTATGAAATCAACCAATGATAAGAAATGTATCTGGAATTGTATGTGAGAATAAATGAAAGGTTTATAGATATTTTTTCATATTCACTTGTGTTCTCGCGACAAAAACTAAGCAAGAAGGATAAACCTAATTTTCGCTGAAACAATTGTGGAAACCAACCACATTGAGATAAAAGCCACTCGTAGTATACAAAAACGACTATAATTTGTTAATATCTATTGATATTCAGATTTTGAAGCCCGTGATTCATACGAATTGTATGGAATATATCCTAGCTTCTGATTTCTATTTTACATATTCTGTCATATAGAATCAATTGTGATGATCATGAGAAGAACTAACGGTAGTTATGTTTTGGGATTATTTCATTTATTGAATCCAACGGATATATCTATTGATCGTATATATTCAATTTTTACTATAACAAAAGAGAATCATAGTTATCACAAGTTAGTTTTCATCCTCAGTCAGTCTTTCACTCTCACGCACCAGCAAACCACTCGAAATAATATCTCGCATTTTATCTAAGATTACATTCATTAAATGGAATCTAGTCAGACTAGAAGAAAGCTAGAAGGATTCTCCATGCGCAACCCTTTTGCAATTATGGTTGTTACATCGAATTTTCTATCTTTGACACGATATTTGTAAAAACCGGGTGGATGAACTTTGACGTACAACTTGGTCTTTGACTGTTCTTAAAGTTATTAGAATCCCCTACAACATTTAGCCAAAATCAGTGAACTCTTCTCAAAATATCAAAGCCGTAATAGAAGCTAAACTTTTCACCCCTATAGGTGAAATATCATGGCTTTTTGGAGGTTTGATGCATCGAGAAGAGTCTATTGTATTTGACTGAAATTTTTCGGAGATTTTAATAACTTCAAGAGCTGTCTATAGGCAAAGTTGTAGATCAAAATTTGTTTGCTCGATTGTTTATAAATACGGTGCTAAAGATAGAACCTGGAAGCTGCTATCGCATGAATATTATGATGCTTGTTGTTGACTTCATTTTGTTAAATGACAGAATAAAATTTTCAAAGGTTTCTAACTTTAAGTATAATGGATACTTTCTCCCTAGATTCTGATCTCCTATATAATGCTAAATTTCTAAACTCGTATTCTGTGCGATTGAACATCTTATATAGATCTAGAAGACTTCCAGCTACAAACTGGTAGTAATTAAACAAAATAATAGATCATTTTTACCGTG